AGTACCGTTTGGACGAGTGCCGCGAAATGCACGAGAACACATGAAATATATATAGTGCTGTGATTCAAACTGAAAAGATTTCTACTTCATTTTATACACTATTCATTGATATATCTGCCGATTTTACGAAATACAATGTTTGGAATCTAGATGAATAATTTGCACTAATCCTGTATTATAATACTCTATTCAGATGTCCGTAATCTAAATAAAAGGTACAGTTTAAAAAGAAATAGTTCTAAATTACAGAATAATTCCTGTTCTATGCTCATTTGATTTTGAAGCGTTTTTCTATGTATTCGAAATGTAATTGTTCTTGCATTAAAACAAATGATTAAAATAGATTTTCTATAGGTAGACAATCTATTTTAATCATTTGTTTATTAGGATAAAATAGACTGCCAATTGGTGCAAACAAATTATTTTAACATTTTATTATCCTACGTCACAGTAACAATAATTTTACTAATGTTTGTATTCTCGTTATGTGATGATAGGTTTACTTTTTAAAAGTATATAGAATTTAAAATCCATTTAAATTTTATTTCAATTTCCATTTTCCGAGGAGTTTACCTCCGGAAAAAAGGGTAACATACTCCAGAGAAGTGCTTTCAATCTTGATAAAATAAAAATGGTTCAAACTTTGTAAAAACGTTTCAGTTTAAAATAATTAAACTGAGGCAGTGTTGCCTTATAAAACGTTAGAGACATTTATCACTAAAGTATTTGAAAAGAAATCAGAAAAGGGAGAAACTGAATAAAATCTTTCGAAAACCCAAAGATAGATAAGTGGCTAAAATACAAAATGGAAAAGTTCAAGCTGAGAAATATAGATGCAAATATATATATATATATATATATATTTGCATATATTTGCATCTGTATATATATATATATATATTTAAGAAAAATAAAGAATATGTAAAAGATTAAATTAGCAGCGTAAATTAATTTCCCTTCTCTATTCTAAAAATAGTAACTTCTATTTGCACTGCTTCATATCGAGAAAAATGTATGTCATATGATTCTTACGTGATTCTGATGATGTAAATGAAACTAAAACTCAAGCAGCCAATAATAATTTTACAGCAATATTAACTATCCAATCAAAATGCTTTGAGAACCAAAACTAACTCAGGTTGACTTAAGATTTCATCCTGAACATGACGCACATGCTTTCCACGCTTTGGCCTAGCTAGAGTGGTGTCTGTTTGCTACTGCTTTCTTGCTACAAAGATATCAAAATTGATATCTTTGTAGCAATAAAACTGAAGATTTAACTGAAGATAACTGAAGATTTAATTTGCATTCGCCTCCAATTTCCTAGTCATTATGGAGCAACACTTCTACGCTATCAAAATTCCTGATCCTGGTCATCGTACATACATACATACATATAATTGAAACAGAAATTGTAAAGCTAACTAGTAATGAGACGTAAGACCTATTTGGTCTTAAAAATTTCTGCACATAATGCTGCAAAAAGATATGAAATAATAGTAGGTAGAAACATTGCAGCGATCTTGCTAAAAAGTTACCAGGAGCTGTAGCTCCTCGAAATAGTTCAACGCTGTATTACTAAAATATGAACTAAGAAGAAATTTTAAAAAAAAAAATATTAAGCTGTGAAAACTGGAAAAAATCTGCAAACACGCGAAAAAACTGCTAAAATTAATGTTGTAAGACATGCGAATGCACGAAAAAATTAATCTGACCGTTGTGATATGTGAAAAGTTAATACACATAAAAAATAGATTGACGGAAAAAAATATCAAAACATAAAATGCAAAAATTATAATGAAAACATAAAATGCAAAAATACAAAAATACAAATAATTACATAGCGGAAAATGGTAAATTAACCCACTCGCACCCTCAACCAGGCTTTTCAAGGGAAAAATGACTGAGTGTCTAAATACCATTACGCGTTTCGCCGAAACAGACCATTGAAGCTCTTGTTTGATGAAAATTTTTGTTTGATGAATTCTTGTTTGATGAATATTTTGATGAAAATTTTTTTATAAAAAACATGTCCCGAATAAATCTTTTTTGGTGCTTCAAAAGGGACAGAGCATTGGGGAAAGGAACAGAGTATTGAAGATTCAAAAAAGATTTATTCCGGACTATTCATGTTTTTTATAAAAAAATTTTTCTCATCAAACAAGAGCTTCAATGGTGTGTTTCGGCGAAACGCGTAATGGTATTTAGCCTAGTTCGACACTCAGTCATTTTTCCCTTGAAAAGCCTGGTTGAGGGTACGAGTGGGTTAATTTACCATTTTCCGCTTTGTAATTATTTTATTTTTGTATTTTTGCAATTTATGTTTTCATTATAATTTTTGCATTTTATGTTTTGATATTTTTTTTCCGTCAATCTATTTTTTTATGTGTATTAACTTTTCACATATCACAACGGTCAGATTAATTTTTTCGTGCACCGCATGTCTTCCAACATTAATTTTAACAGTTTTTTTCCAGTTTTTCCAGATTAATATTTTTTTTTTAATTTCTTCTTAGTTCATATTTTAGTAATACAGCGTTGAACTATTTCGTGGAGCTACAGCTCCTGGTAACTTTTTAGCAAGATCGCTGCAATGTTTCTACCTACTATTATTTCATATATATATATATATATATATATATATATATTAATTAGGATATATATGTGATTAGAATAAGGTCAAATGATTAGGATACATACATATATATATATATATATAATTCTAATCATTTGACCTGAATTTATTTAATTATATCATCATTTTGTAATAAAATAAATTAATACTATATTGATTCGTTTAAACACCATTGAAAAAATTGTGCGTTTTGATAAACAAATCTATAACTGAAAACTGCTCATCAGTAACACTTAAAATAAAGCCGTTTGTTTTTGCGGCAGCTATTTGCCTAGTATCATTTGCGTTTGTAAATACTAGTGTTGGGTGAGAAAGAGATGTTGATTAAACGAAAACAATTCATGTATTTCGAAACTAAAGTATTTGAGAATTCGAAACTAGAGCATTTGGGTCCTATTTCAGTATTAGCTACAAGTTGCAGTGCTCGACTTCGATTAGCACTGAATTTTTTGTTACCCAGTTCATATAACTTCAATTTTCTAAGCGTCTGACTTTTTAATAGAGAAATGCGAATAATGGTCAAAACTTAAATAATTGACCAATTTTTCGGCAGCCGTAAAATAATTTTACAATTCAAATAAAGTTGAGGTTTCTTCAAAGAGATAATTTTCTTCGATTTTATTATTCTACGGAAGCATTTCTAAAAACTTGTACTTGGAACACGGGCAGATTCAGTATGATGCCCTTTTCTTTTAGCCAGCGAATAAAGCGAAGCGAAATAAAAACTAATGAAAACAAAAATGAGAAACTGTTATTTCGTTAAAATTTCTCACGCACTTAATACTTCCATTTTTATTTAGTCTTCAAAGTAATTGCATCGCAAATTTAAATATGTTACAGTATAAACAAAAGACCTACATACAAGGACCGAAAGTTATGGCATTTTAATTAGGGAAGCCCCTAATAGGTTACCGCCTTTGCCTCCTATGAAGGGACAGTTATACCAATGCCTTATCCAGAATTCGAACACGGGACCATCCCTGCAGCACATTAATCTTAATCAAACGTTTCTCACAATCCACTTTTTTTTTAATATTTCAAACAGCTCGTAAAATTCAATCAAATTTTATTCAGAATCGATGTCATTTTAGAAGCATGTAATATATAGTAGTTTGTATAAAACATCTGTCTCTTAATCGCATGTCTTTAATACTACTCTTGTTCTTTTCTGGCTCAGAGTTGAAGATGACGTTGAGCATTTCATAAATGACATAATATTCATTGTTTCATTTCATTCTAAAGAAGGATATAATAAAATAAGAATACAACCACTAAAAATCCCCAAAACCTTTTGGAAACATAAATAACTTATTATAATAATATTCTCTAAGATGTATGCTTCCTGAATGCAACCATAACCATGAAAATATATAATTTCTTTGATAAACCACTGTACTTAAGCACTGCATGAGTCACAGTGCAACATTACCGTTTCTTACTGCAGCCGCAACACTATTTTTATTGAAAAATTGAACAAATAAAAACGTTTTTGTAATATAAGCTTTTATTTAAAACTCGGGTCTACCTGTGACTGATCGGTAATGTCGCTGAACACTGGTAGTTCGATCTGGGGTTCGAATTCCGGCAGACGGGTTGGCTGCAAGGGCGTCTTCGTGGTTTTCCCCGTGTGTAAAGAGAATAGCACATATGGCTACAGTGTCTGCTAGACGGGACTTTTCTGAGAAACGAGATTCTGGTAGCACTGGTTAAAATGGGAGGATTCCTAGAAAAAAAGAGCCCCGCTCGAAGCGAAGTCCCGCCTAGTTACGGAAATAATGTTGCGGCTACGCGGGATTTTTTCAAACCTCACCGAAAATGTCTCGTATCCCGGGTAGAGACAACCAATCAGACGAAAGTTCTGCTTCTGAAGGATCATCTGATCTTAATTTAAGCGATGATCGATTACTGTTTAGTGTTAAAGTCTTTGTAGTAAGTGAGAATGGTAACCTAGCTATATGTGTTTCCCGGAATTGTGCGGGTTCTGAGAATTGCCCTTTCGACGTCAAGTCCCGCGTAGCCGAAACATAATGTGATTGGGACCTAATGTATGCGAGTCAATTTCCCTAGGAAAAGTCGTCCACGAAGGTATTATTTCACTTAGGCAGATAGCCCTCGAATGCTTTGCCATAATTAAATATATCAAACCAATCTATTTAAAATTGGTGAAATATTTAATGAACTAAAAGTAGAAAATTCATTTTTCATATAGTTTAATGGGAGGAGGTATTAAATAATTCTCTTTACAAAATTCAGCTGCAGTTTTATCTCACGAATAATAAATGCATGGGGTGCCCTTGATAAATTTATAAAGGAAATAGCTTATACTTTTGGCAATGCATTTTGATAATTAGTTTTTGTTATTTAGGAGCAGTAAGACAAGAAAAAGCAGGAATACCGAATCATTATTACAAACAATCAAAGAAATAGTACTGCTGAAATCCACTACTTCAACTTCTGAAAACCATCAAGGCAGCTGTATGTATGTAAACTGAAACTGACTTTTACGTTTTAAGAGCCCTGAAGCAGGCTTCCATCATAACAGTATTGAAGGTATTTGAGAAGCCACTGAAGGAGATGGAAGATCATTGATAAAGTCCAAGTAATGAACTTTGAGGATTTCTAGCTCTGTAATTTTGATATTTTTTATATTAGAATATGTTTGAAAAGTTTTCGCAGGAAATTATATATTTTTTCGATAATTATCCGTAAGCTGAATCATTAAAGATGGAAAATTATAACAAATAAATTTAGAGATAATTCGTTGTTACCACTTCCGATTAAATTCTTTCTCAACCTCGATAGCTAAGAAGCAGGTAGCAACATTTTTTTCATTATTAAAAGCCGAAACTCTCAAGAGCTCGCAGAATTTGATGAACTATGGAATGGTATGCTCTAAAACCAGATTTTAAAATATGATAGAATTTACATATTACAGCCAGAAAATTGGTAAGAAGTTTATGTAAATTTTGTTCCTTTTAATTTGCTTATTTAAGTTGGCTGATAGAGCAAAAATTATTTAGAGACTTAAATTCTTTCGAACTTCCAAAAAATGATAATGGAAGCAATTTTCGATTTTCCCGCAAAGTACTTGAATTTTAGACAAGCATTACTATATTTCAAGTTCTACAATAACTGTCATGGGCTTCCGTAGATATCACTTCATTTCTAAGACTTTTAAGGATGTCATTAATATTTTTAGAAATACGATATATATATATATTTTTTGATTTATAAATTTCATATAAATTATGTTATTAGTAAGTACTGGATTGTTATGTGCATTAATTTCAGATTTCATTGCAGGGTTTCTGGTACGTAGGGCTAAATTAATGGCAATTCCTTTTGAAGATATAACTATAAATATCATAAATAGATTTGAGCTTTGAAACTTGTAGAATTCTTTCTACTATTTGTCACTAACAATTTATTTTATGTTTCGGATCTTTACTCTCACTTCTCTTTTCCGTTTCTCTGCCAGAATGTAAATGAGGTAGAAAGATATAGCATCAAAAGGAAGGTTCGAGAGTTTAATTCAGAGCGTGATCTGCACCTCAAGGCCACACATCTACGTTAGCTAGCTGAGATAAGATCGTATTATTCGTCTTCGCATAATAGTTGCGATATTTAAATTGTTACGCCAATGCGAAATTTTGAGCCAACTGAGCTTTAAATCAATTGCGTAGCCCTCGGCTACTAAGTTTTAATTTGAAGCTCTAATTTACTATTTCTTTAAGTTATATCACTACAAGTGGCTGTCTGATTTGTAAGCACAAGTCGTGCATTTATGTTCAAAGTTCTGATTTAATAAAAATGTATATTTAAAACTTCTCAAGTTTCTGTCTTTAACTTCTGAAACGCAACGATAATTCGTTCCCAGTCTGTTAAGAGTTTGGTCTTTGTTAATGCTACCAAAGTAAGTCAGACTTTATAAACTAGTATGCGGTTATTATCTAACATGCATGGGTAGTAATTCCAATTGATAGTTAGAGGAATATGATGCGAATCTGTATTAATAATATATGAGTAAATAACAGACATATTATCGCTTCACAAACTTTAAGTAGTGTGAGCTTCCGGAAGTACCTGAGGTTAGTATAGTGATACGAATGTTCCATAAATACGTCAGACCATGGTTATTCGATATTAAGCGAGGGAATGTCCGGAGTTCATTGATATTGAGTGAAATACGTTTTGCTTTATGCAACAGGGTGTCTATTTACTGATCCATAGACAACGTATTAAATACTCTTTTACAGTTATAGGTGCATCATCAACTGATTTTACCATGCTGCTCCTCATGAGATTCACAATGCCGCAAATACCAGACAAATGCCATAAATAGAAACTACATGTGACGAACATACTGTTATAAAGATAAATTCATGAGGGTTTCTAGTAGCATAATATTGCCATATGTTTTAACATCCTTTGAGAACCAAAAAAGCATTTTATGATGCATTATTGATTTATGATTTATGATTAAAATTGTTGATTTATGATTAAAAAGCATTTTAATTTTATCATTTTATTTTATTTTTTATAGCCTCCAACCAAGTTACTATCTATATGTGTTAAATTGCGAGTCTATGGGTGCAGTAGTTTCTGAATTCAACCCGCGCATATGTACAGTTATAGATATACATACACACAAACCCGTAAAGATTTTATATATGACTTTTTATGTTCAGTGTTCTATGATAAAATATTAAAGCTATGTCCTAATTATATTTTATATTTCATTAATAATGCTTTATAAGAACTAAAAGCAGTAAAAGCATTTACAGTCTCTATTCGTGCCTCAGTACGTCAGCTCATAACTTAGCGTGGTGTAATATCTACCTGAGAACCAAAATTCAATAATTTTCCTCTAAAAAACTTTTAACTAGCTCAAACTGATGATCATCGGAGGTGACATCAATGCAAAACAAAAGGACTAGAACGTAACTCTGAAACCGTGAATCGTCCGACCATCCCTCCGTTAATCTGAAATCTTCCATGAGCTGTTTATGTGCCCATTGAGACCACTTACATGCATAGCATTATAAAAGGAAGGAGTGATGTTGTTAAAAGTTTCCCGAAAAATTCAGTTTCCTGCTTGTACTTAATATGTGTTATAAATTATTATCTTCTCTGACCACATACTTGTATTCGCAAGTCTCTGGCAAAAGTGAAACTTCCAGTAAATCTACTGACCCGAGTAGATTCTATAATTTGATTTTAAGTGCTCTCCATAGATTTCTTCGCTTAAATGCAATCAAATGGTGGTAAGACTGTCAGAAATGTTTTCCGACCTTACCGCGTGCCTTCGTAGTGTAATTGGAGTTTGAATCCCAGCGATGCCACTGATAACGTTTTATCTCTCCTCCTGAAAAAAAAAAACCCTACTTAATCTATGATGCAAATGTAACTTTTACAAAAGACTCCGATGATGCCTCTCAAGACTATTCAAAGCGTTTTTCTTGGGTCTTTAGAGTGGGTTCCAACTGGAAATTAGACGTTGTTAGTTTGTCAAGAAATAAACGCGGGAAAAAGTGCACGGCTGCAATGATTGAGGAATAAAATTTGAAGTAAACAGTAGGCTAAAATAGACAGCCGAGACATAATCAGTTGTGCTTTCTAAACATTCACGACAAGATTGAAAATCCGTGGAAAAAACAGCCTGCCAATTAAAATGATACTACACCGTTGAGATATACATTACTTTGAGCAAGAACTTCTTCTAAAACGCTTTGTCAAATAGCCTTCTATGTAACGTTAAACTTAAACAATTTTTCCATAACTGCACAAAATCTTCCCACATCCTAAGCAATCAAATAAATTATTACCGTATATACCCGAGTATATGTCGATACCGCGTATAAGTCGACCTCCCCACTTCGACATAAAAAATTCGTAGAAAATAAGAAACCCGCGTATAAGGTCGACCCCACACTTCCGAAATCGATCGAGAACTCGAAACATTTTTAAGTACTACATTATTCAAAATCATCTGAGAAAAAAAGTAAATATACGATAAAAAATATCTTGGCAAATAAACAAAATCAAAATCCTTTCAACGTCCGATTCAATGGTCAGATTCGCCAAACATTTCATAGAACTCTTTTGTCATCATTGGCTCGTCATCATACATATTTTCAGTCTCGAACTCTGGATCGTTACAATCACTACTAGAGCCTTCGTCATCATTTTCACTTTCAAAAGCAGCATTATCATCTGTGCCGTTTAGTTCGTTGCTAATACATTTTTTAAATGATTTTATCATTTCAGAGGATATTTCATTTCAAGCATCTTTAACCCACTGAGCAATTAATGTAATATTCGGCTTTTTAATGTTGCCTGCCTTTGTAAATGTTGGTCGACGGAAGTAATCCACTCTGGATAATTGGGAAAAAATGATCGTATACAGTATTGAGGCTAGACATCTAGGGGTCTGTAATGACGGATGTCAATCCTCGCGGAAAATCTATCGGCCACAGTTCGTTTTTAGATGTTTGTCACTTCCAGAAAAGTGTCACGAAAAGAATCCTAAGAAAAGAGAAGGTTTTTGAAGCTGTCCGGTCTTACCCACACATTTTAGCCATCGACGTCCGTCAGCATCCATCCATCCCTTTCATGGGCGCGAACCAGCACACCTCGGAACACATATCAACAGAAAAAGAAGGGAAACAAAAACGTACTGACAAGGCGAGTAAGATTTAATTGGGCACGTGATTCTAGCAAAGATCCGTGAATTGAGTTAAACCGAAGAGTTTTTGCCCCCGAACAACAATCAGCAACCAGTGATTAACAAAATATTCATGTATGGAACAATACTATTATAAAGACTTCGTACGTAAAAACTTCTGCATTTCTCTTCTTGGCGTGTTGGGAAACCTTTTGCTCGATATGATCGGTTGTCGAGGTCGAAAATTCTTGGTTAAGAAAACTTACTTAGTTAAAGTATGAAACTGTGATTAGTTCGTCACATATTAAGTCATGAATTACTTCAAGTAAGTGACTATTGATAGTCGTCCAATTTGCTGGGGAAGAAAAACAATTTATCTAAAGAAATTTTGAACTTCCGATTTTTTACTATTTTATGGCCCCGCGTATAAGTCACCCCCCCCCTTGAGTCTTTTTTTTTTTTTTTTTTTTTTGGTCCAAAATATCTCGACTTATACGCAGGTATATACGGTAAATAGATAAATACTAAAAAATGATCTCAGACTTGATAATGACCATTTTAGAAGCTTGTGCAAATATTACCTAATAAAGCAGCTTTATTCCTATTATTAATTTTAAATCCTGATTCTCAGAATCATGGTCGTTTGCAAATGCAGCGCAATTTTAACCTAAAACATATTTATCTAGAAAACTTAGCTTGACTTTACAATCGAATTGGCTCATAAAGTCAGTGTCATGAAATCTATTCGGGGCAGCTTTACATGGTTACAGGTAAAAATATCGCTGACTAAAACGTCTCAGAGAAAATAACCCAAAGCGAAAACGTCGTACAAAACATCGTGGGCGGAAACAAAGCAAGAAGAAAACATCGCAGTACAAAACACTGTTGTCGAAAATAAAGTTATTCAAAAATTTCTCAGTTTAAAAATATCATCGGCGAAAATATCGGGGCAGAAAATAAAGCATCTACAAATCATCGCATAGCGATAACGACACAAGCATGCGTTTTCCAGGCTTTCCGGGTTTCCTGGCTAAGTTTTCCAGGCCCATGAATTTTTGACGAAAAATTAAGAAGGAAACTTAAGCATTGAGAAACGGAAAATGAGTAGAAAATTATTGCTGTTGCCAACCAAAACCAAAACTATTTCTACTTATAACAAATGACAGAATTTTATAATTTAAAAATTAATTAAGCAATTTTAATGGTGGTAACCACATGCAGTTACTCATCTGTTTTTTCTAACCTTTTTACTTCCTTGTACGGAGTAAAGGATGTATTATAATCGTGAAAACTTTTTTATCCACTTTGAATACCATCGAATGCAATTTAATAATGATTTTGAGTGACATTTCTACGTAAGGTCAGAATAAAAAACTCTTTTTTCCAAAAGATTTTTTTCGTGATGGCTGTTACGTATATACGAATGTATGTATCTCGCATAACTCAGTAACGAGTAACCTCAGAGCATTGAAATTGTGTATACAGTATTGCTATAACATGCAGTTGTGCACATCCCCTTTTTGGTTATAATCGGCCGCACCAAAAGAGTATGTATATACCCACTTTGTTACTCGGCTCTGTGAGCTAAGTTTTTTTTTGTATTCTTGAATATTGGTGAATTGTGCATTTTTTGTTTTTAAAAAGGGATTGAATTATATTGTTCTTATGTTCCGGTTAAGGTTTTATTCCTTTAGTTTATCTGCGTACAATAATCGTAGAATTATCAGCAAATTAAAAGTTAAGATACAATAACACGCCGAACAAATATTACCTTAGAAACCAAAGAACAAAAATCCGCGTTATATTTTCAAATTTTTCACAGAAATCTGTGAAAAATTCGAGAGTATAACGCTGATTTTTGTTGTTTGGCATCTAAATTAATAAATTAAAAGTTGTTTAAGAAAGTCTAAGTCAATAAATTAAAATTTGTTAAAGAAATTCCTTACTAAGCCTAATGAAACCGCCATTTGTTTGCATTTGAAACTCTTAGTAGAATAGTAAATTAATTCAGTTTCTTCACTAACTAAAGTGTCTTTTTGCCGAGAGGGGCCAAAAGTAAACTTTCAATTTTGCGTACCGAAAAATCTGTCTTTCTGACTGCTGACCGAATTGCTTGTTTTTGAGTAGAAACTTTTAATTTTAACTGTAAAAAG